AATTTCGTTGCTAATTAGTTGATCGCATCTGTATGTACTACAAGTATCCATATGCGCATGCCTGGGAAATGGATTTATTATTTACAAATAATATCTACGAGTATTGCAGTAAAAGTCAAAAACAACTTTGAAGTTAACAAACACATTGCTTTATACATTTTTTTGTTAATGCGTCCATCTTTAAAGTGAGTATGTGAAAAAACCAATTTTATCATTTTTTTAACTAACATGCATTTTTACTATTTACATAATATAATACTCGTACAAGAAGCGAACTTGAACAGATGCTTTTTAAGTTTTTAGCAACATTAACTACTGAATAAATTATATTTAACAAATGGTGATGCAGAAATGCAAATCAGCAATTCTAACTAATATAAAAGTACATTTAATATAATTTAACTATATTAATTTATTTAATTTTATAAAAAAAAATATACATGAATACGTTTCTGCATTCACATGCAACCTAGCAACACATAGCCAGACACTTGCATCAAATATAACATTATCATAACAGAAATTTACATTTATCTCTGTTAACTCTTCTTGAAATGTTAATCGCGCTGTGGTGATATTCCATGGATTTATTTTTCAGCCAAACAATTTTACGTTCCAAAAATTTGCTCCTTCTCTATCTATCTAAGTTCTCTGTTAGTACCACCAAACATACACGCCGCATGCTTGTTACTGTGCAACATTATTACTTTCTGGCATCCGAAATGAATGTTGTCAACATCTTATTTGAGAAATTGTGACATGATTGATTTTTCATGTCAAGACACATTGTCGTAGACAAAGTCATCGCATTGAGACTTTCTAAAATATTTCACTTAAAATAATCGCCACATTCCTCAGCAAGCAGCATACGCACAAACTTTGCTCTGCTGTGTGTGTTCTATGTAAAAGCGCGCTTGGGTGCTGCATAACTAAAAAAATATGTACATACATATCTATACAATAAGTACGTGCGTAAGTAAGTTCATTTTCCATCAGCATGATCCATCAGTGTCCATTCTCATCGCTTGACTGCCCATGTCCAGTTTAGCTCAGTATTGTTGTTTTTGTTGGCAGCCGCCTGCAGTTGTCCATCAGCCTGTGTCCAGGCTTGTGCGTCCGCTAGTTGTTTCCACAGTGTCTCGTTCGTCTCTTTGGTAGCTGCTAGCTTCTATGGGCTTCGGGTTTAATTTTTTAATTTTCTCTAAAATTACGTGCAACATGCCTCAGACAACCCCTTAAGATACCTGCGGCTATTCAAAACTACTTGCTATAATTTCTTCAGCGATATAAAAACTGCCTGACTATCAGAAAAGATGGCTGAAAAATAGATAATAAGGCCGAGCTTGTTATTTCACTCACTACAAGTAAATTCCTTCTTGCTGATAAGAACTTGTAAAGTAAAACTTCTTAGTTTAGTTTGAGACGACTAAAGAGCAAAATCGTCCTCACACATAGGCCAAGAATAATGGCGCTGTGTTTTTGTGTATATAAATAGAAATGTTTGGGTTTAAGAAAGATAGGTTTTCTGCTATCCATTATAACTATACCAATTTTTTAAAAATCGGTTTGTATTTTTTGTGTTTAAAATATTTTTTTTTTGAAGAAGAAGAAAAGATATTTTTTGGTTTTAAGTGTTTTTTCTCCAATTTTTTATATACGAAGTATACAAATATGTATACCAAAAGAAAGGGTGTTTAATCGCATTTACAACGATACTAAAGGCGATTATAAATGGGTTAGTGATTTTTTTGTTAAATTTTTTTTTTATAAAAAAGCTTTTTTTTCTTTTAGGTCTTTTTTCTCAAATTGTTATATACGAAGTATACCAGTATGTATATCAGAAAATATAAGGTGTGATTGCGTTTACAACGATAACAAAATCTGTTAGTAATTTTTTTGTTTAAAATATTTTTTTCTCCCGCAAAATCTTTCTCTCGAAAGCTCCAACGCCTCATCGAACCCTACCAAGGTGGTTAATGTGTCCAATCCACATTGCCTTTTGGTACCGACGTGCTTGCATTTCTTCTGGATGCTTGCATTTCGGCCAAGTGCTTGCATTTCAGGGCACTTATCATCGCATTGAGTTGATACATTGTGCTTGTCGGGAACACGTGGGGTAGGGTTGTTTCAAACAACAGGTATCCACGTTAAACCCTCACGTAACCGACCATATTTTGCATAAGAGCTCCACGCGGCCATGCTAGAATAGCTCGGCTGGCAGACCGTCGAAAAGCCGGGAAAAAATATCCGTATTCTTCTGCGTAAATGGGATTTTAATCTACCTACTTATCTGTTCGGACCTTTTTTTTTCTGTATTCATTTGTTGTAGACAGAGCTGTGTAATGATTGAATCAATTGAGTGTGCATTCTCATTTTTTTCGTTTCAAAAATGTGATTGTTTGATTTAAAAAATTTAACAACCACTCTTGAGATTGGTTACAAATTGTAAACACAAAATATGTAGTGTGTTATGGAATGGTTGACACCCATTCACATAGAGAATGTGAATGCAAAAAAAAAACTCAATCATGTATGATTGGACGTTTATGGGAATGCAATCTGTCATTATCATTCAGTACTAATACTATTTGTTGTATCAGGGTTGAAATTTTTGTACTCAAAATGTGAAACCAGAAGATTGCCATCTCCCTTAAAATAAGTAAACAAATAAATATTTGGTGCTAAAATATTTTTCTAAGTGTTTGGCCGAATTTCTGCTCAAACTTGAGGCATGAGTTCTGATTTTCTAAGAAGAGTTTTCAAAGCAGAAATATACTCGAAGGTTTGCCATTGCGTGCCGAAGGACGACTGCTATTTTGGGCTATGATCTGACCAGGTATTTAACCATGGTCCTATGGAGTGGAAGTACGCACATGTAATCACTCTGCTACGGCGACCGCCGTAAGTACATGCTATACATATCGTGGTTTAAAGTACAAAACCGCGTATCAAGAAAATGCAAAACCGCGTAATTGCATAAATTATTTTCTATAGAGTAAAGTCACCCATATTTCAAAATGGTTGTCTTCTTTATAAAGCAAACGTATTCTGGCTAGTATATTTCAGGACGAATGGATAAGAATTGAGCCAAGAGTTTTTGTGAGCAAATCCAATTTTTGGCAGCCAATGTCAGTCACACGGTTTTGCAGAATGACGATACGCGGTTTTGTACTTTAAACGACGATATATATGTACACATATTAGATTATTTATTCTCAAAATGCATGAAAACTATAGTATGCTTGCAAACAATTAATAACATTTTGTGATAAACAGTTTTACAAATGTATTTGCACTTCAAATTTGTATTTTAGTAAAGTATTAATTAAATAAATTATTATTGTAAATTATTATTTTAATAAATAGATATAAGGATATTTATACTTGGCAACTCTTGGACTTTTCTTCATTTGTAACAAATGACAGACGTAAACAAAATAAAAAAATAATTGTATTTTTTCAAATTTAAAGCAAACGGGC